GGGATTCCAGTTCCAGGGGATCAAACCGTCTCCTCTGACCTCTGCTGGCACATGCACATCACACGTAGACGTGCATGCGAACCAAATGCTTACACACATAAAGTTTAAATTAAAAAAAAGAAAACTGTACAATAAAGTAGGATTTTTGTCAAAGCCATGGTGTTTTATTTTTGCAGAGGAGCTGTACAATAAGAACTTTAAGGCCATGAAAATGTGTTCTCAAGTCTGATCAAACTGAAATTCCATAAGTATGAACAGCCCAGCTTTTGTGCAAGGTCTGATTTCAGCTGAATCTCAGCCAGCTGGGTGCCACTCACGTTTGAGTCCATTTCCAGTAATTCTTTTCCACATAATGGGTCCTGTTTTTTCTGCCTGGAAAGGCAGGTGTGTCCCTATTCTTTTCTTCACTGGCTTCACACCTCTGTTCTTTATTCTGACCCTTCTTCTGAGCTTCTCTGAGGCAGACACAGAAAGACAACTGAGGGTCATTATCTCAGTTGCTTCTCTATTACTCTGACAAAACACCATGACCAAAGCAACTTATAAAAGAAAACCTTTGATTTGGGGCTCACCATTTCAGAGAGTTAGAGTCCACAACCATCGTGGTGGGGAGCATGGCAGCAGGCAGGCCAGTATGCTGTTGGAGTGGCAGCTGAGAGCTTATATCTTTATCTGAAAGTAGGAGTCGGAGAGAGCTAACTGGGAATGGCATGCATCTTTTGAGACCTCAGAGTCCATCTCCAGTGACATACCTCTTCCAATAAGGCCACACCTCCTGATCCTCCCCAAACAACTCCACCAACTGAGGAAACAGGCATTCAAATGTATGAGCCTATGGGAGCCATTCTCAGTCAAACCACCACAGCCACCAATTTCTCCTCCTCCAAAGTCAAAGCCTAATGGTCACATGGGAAACCCTCACCCCAAGCTGTAGGTGTTTGAAGGAATGATGTACAGGGAGAGCCCTGGCAACAGAAGCAGGCACTGTGGAAGACTGTTTAGATCCTAAAATAGATGGCTATAATGCTAGCAAATGCTGCTGTTTGCTTCCACCAGAGTGTCCTGTAAAAACTTCATGGCACTGTACAAAAGTGAACGTCTGGGAATTCTTGGATGACCTCACAGGTCCAGTGCTGTGAGAACCAAGCCTTCATTGAATCCAGGGAGGAGCAGCCAGGTGTGTGACCTGAACATTAGATTTGTGGCATGCTGCAGGCCAGGCACAAAGGTCTTCCTCACATTCTGTAGACTTCTCTCCTAGAAAAATCTGGAGATATTTCCCACTGGGAAGCTCTTCTGTGCTGAAGGAAAGTCTACTACATGGACTACAATTGTCCTCTGGCCAGTGAGCCTCTCCTGTTCCCTGTATGTGACAGTGCAATGCAACTGAAGTTCTGGAGTGCTAAAAGCAGTGCCAGAGATGTCACACCCATGCTCACCTGTGCACACTCCTTCTTAGATGCTTCCTTACACAGAGCTTGCCTCTTCCTTGCTGGCAAGGGTCAACTTGATCCTTTTTGCCTTTGATCCTAGTTCTTGTGGCATCAAGGGTGATGCTGGGCAAGAATCTGTACTCAGTCACCCTCTTTTGACCCTTAATAAGAGGGAGCTATGTGGGTTGATCCACTCACAGTGACAATGTCACATCTTTGGAAGATCCAGAGAAGATGTGGTCTTCACTCCCACAACTAAGCTATCAACCGCCATAGGGTCCATATTTTCTACTTGCTGTTCTGAACCCTGAAGATTGTCTGGTACCTTTCCCTCAAAGGTCTGGACAGTTTTCTTCTTCACTACAGAAAGGAATCAGGCATCACACACACACACACACACACACACACACACACACACACACACACACACCCCTGTGAATGCACATGCATGTGCACACACACATGCATTCACACAAACCCACAAGCACACATCTCCATGGCCACTCTTTCCCTTTTCCCTTGAACCAAGGGTGTAAACGCTTTACAAGATCTGGAAATGCTTTTTTTTCATTAAGCAAAAGATGCCACTCTAGTTCTCAAACTGAAGACAAACCATGTTGCAATCTTCCTGCCAGAAGTGAGACCGACAAGAGACAATCGTCCCATGGGTCTATAGATGAGTCACCTTCCTGACAGAGTGACCGTTGTCTCCAGTAGCTTATCTTGCCATAAGTCTGTTACTTTGAATGAATGCAGACAATTGGAGTCCAAAGTATCCTTTAAAAGAACTTTCCCTGTCTCTATTCCAACCAAGTAATCTATCAGGATGAGTTTTCTCCAACTTAGCAGTGACCCGGCAATTCATTTGACAGACACCACAAGCACCGGTAGATCTGGAAATCACAATAAAAGCCACACTCCCTGCCCCTGAATCCAGACCTGGCAGTGCGAGAGAGTCTTCACATGGAAGCTGCACGCTCTTGAAGGAGCCCCATTGGGGAGTGAAATGAGCTGTTACTTCAGAGCCTGGGACATCAGGGACATGCTTAGCTGGTTGTCAGTCATTATGACTGTGGGGACTTGCCCGCAAGCCACTTAAAGTGTTTGCTGTACTCGGGAAAGATAATGTATCTGTCACTCACACCTTTGTGATTTTCGAGAGTGTATAAACAAAATCTGGTAGGTATTCCAAATCACATAATCTGACTCTGAAAGCTTTAAGGTACAACTTAATTGGGTGAATCATGTTCCATTAGCCCCAGTAAAACCATACTGAGATTGTCAGCCTCTCCTGCCCACCCTGTGAAAAGAGTGACAGGCTGGCAGCGATGCCAGTTTGGGGCTGGCCAGGGCTGTGGGGCCGTCTTGCTGCTCACAGCCCAGGATGAAGCTCAAAGGCTTTCCAAAGGCATTGGATCTGTGAAGAGACAGTAGGTCTGTCTGAACACATCCTTATTCTTCTGGCTCTGTATGGAGATGCATGGAAGGTTAATTCTGGTTCTGGAGTCTGATGTTCAAGTTGCAGCACGTGGTTGTTACGTGGCAGCTTTCCTTGTCTGTGCTGAAGAATGGGAAGACTTGGGAGGGAAGGCAGTCAAACTCTAGCATCTTCGCATGCTGCTTGGATACGCAGCATCCTCCTCATACACCCAGCACAGCACGATCTCTCTGCTATAAGTGCTTACCCTGAGAAACACTGAGGGTTGAGCCCAATTTTTAATCCAACAAATCCCTTTGGATGCTTACAAACCTCCCTCAAGCATGCACCAGAACTTTCTGGAAGCCCCCAGGGTAAATGCAGCACATTGGATAGCCCCAGCCCAGAAGCTGTGATGTATTTATGTGTCGGGGGTATCTTTTAAAATGGGGCTTTGATGGACTTTTTAATTCAGAACTAGAAACTGGCATGTTTAAACTGCTCCCCCCTCTTCTCTCCCACACATACAGAAAAAAGAAAATAAAAAATTAACAAATTGTTAACTAGATAACTAGAGGGTGATTTGCAGTCAGTCTTCCCTGATGTTATGTTATTGTTGCTTTTTATTTATCTTATTTATTCTTGGCATTTTGAGACAGCTGTGTTGCTCATGATTCTTTTCCTTTGGCTGCCTAAAGGCTGGCACTGAAGGTGTGAGCCACCACCCCTAGCCTAACTTGTAGTCTCTTTTAAAATTAGAATAGGAATAAAGGTGTTTTGCAGCCCATGTAGGTTCGGAAGGGCCTGGCATGGGTGTGGGAGCCCCTGGGGTGGGAGCCATCAAGCCTTGTGTGTGAAATGGGCTCAGGAGTATCTGCCAAAGAGCTCTATTCATATGCTCGGGGGTTGTTGTTGATTTGGTTTGGGTTTGGGCTGGCTTAGAATTCACTCTGTAGCCCAAGCTGGTCTTAAACTGTGATCTTCCTGCTTCGTCCTCCCAAGTGTCAGGATTACAGGTATGTGCATAGCCAGCTTGAAACATTTGGGGTTTTGTTTTTGTTTTTGTTTTTGTTTTTTTTATGTGATAAAATGTGCATTAGTGCCCTGCGAATTGCACTTCCTTGCAGGCCCGTTGGACTGGTCCCCTCTAGGAGTGTGTGGTCTCCGCTGGGCAGCCTGGTTCATTCTGTCTCTTCTCCTTGCAGTTGCCCATGATGGGAGGAGCATTCATGGACTCATCCAACGAGGACTTCAGTACCGAATACTCCCTGTTTAGCTCCCCTGCCAACGTCCACGCCAACTCCAATGGCCACAGCCAGCCAGAGGAGTCTCCTCGTTCCTCCAACGATGCTGTTCTGCTATGGATTGCCATCATAGCAACCCTGGGGAACATAGTGGTGGTCGGGGTGGTGTATGCCTTCACCTTCTGAAGGCAGAGGGAGGGGTGCTGACGCCGTGGGGGAGCCCCTCTTGCACCGGACTCACCCGGCAAGGCTACTCTTGTGGCTCCTTCTTGTTCCCAGCTGCTGGAGACACACCGATGTTCTAGACCTAGGCTTGAATGGCCTCTGTAGGGGCAGCCACTGCGCATCTGGAATTCCCTCCAGGCAGCTCTGATTTAGAATAGCCTGTGTAGTCGTTGATTCAGGATGCCTTTGAAGTTGGTGCTTCCGGCTCTGAGAAGCTTGATGGGTCAAGTCCTTCAAACAGCAGGCTGAACAGTTCTTGACATTTCGGCCAGTCCTAGAACACAAGACCAGATTGTACATCCTATTAGGTTTAAAAAAAAAATGTAGACCTGACTTGGTGACAATTTCTTAGCGGTAAATTGTCACTTGTATGTCAGATTTTACGCAGACTTATTGAATAGTATGTCCCTCCCACCCCTTAGGACACTGATGGCAGTGTTGTAGGGTTGGTTACATAATGTTGTGAAATTGACTTGTAAATGGTACTTTGTCACCAGGCACTTGGTCCCTTCAGGACCCAACTGCCTCGGAAAACCCAGGGATTGGGATGAAGTTTCTGATCTTTTTAAAACAAGCAGAGGGCATCTTCAAAATTCAGTTCCCCAGGGGATTAACCCTTCACTGCCCGACTTAGGTCACCCTTTCTTCTTCGAGGATTCGTGGGAGATCAAGATGAGTTAGCCGTGTCCCTTTATCATTGGACAGATGTCATGGAGAGGGACATGGTGGTCATGTGGCTGGATAATGATAGAGTCAGAGCAGCAAGGAATTCCCTAATCTGGCTGAGTCTGGTCTTCACCCTAGCCAAGCTCTCCAGTGAGCATGTCCCCACCTCGGCAACTGAGGCAGAGATGGAATACCCAGGAGGTGTCCAGCGTGGAGACTTCCCAAGTCACTCATCCATGTCTGTGCTGTAAAATGGGTTAGATACTGTGGCCTCCCTCAGGCCTGACTCCCCACATCCATCACTGTATCAGCATTCTTGCAAATGCTTTGACCCCAGGGGAAGCTGTTCCAAAAGAGAACTGGTCCAGCCTCTGTAGCCAAGAAGTAGGGGCACTGGGTGTCTGCTAAGATGCCTAGGGTCATCACCGGGTCAGGCTGCTGGGCTGGCAGTTAAGCTGTTGTGTGCTGGAGGTGGGAGTTGCTGGATGTTTGCTCTGGCTTCCTGCCTCTCCAGCAGGACACCCCAGTCTTTCCCTAGAGCAAGGGGAGGGACATCCTCATGAGAGAACCCACGTCAGCGATGGGAGCAGGAGTGTGCTGTGATGTCTTCACATGGCACCTCTGTCCTATTGCTGTCTGATTTACCCCAGGGGAGTAGCAGCTGGTGGTCCATCCCCTGCCTTGTATCCATGGAGACAGCAGGTTTAGGAGGGATCTGTGCCTGCTGTGAAAAGAGAGGGGGGGACAGAAAAGATAAAGACAGCTTCTAGCCTTGTAAAGTATCAGCACGTCAGTGCTTTTACACACACACACACACACCAGACACACACAGACACACACACACACACAGAGACACACACAGACACACAGACATACACACACACAAAGTTAAACCCATGCTGATGTCTCTCTTGCTCTACTGGGTCAGAGCCACAGATGGTCATGAACGTTTGAAGCCCCTTTTGTCCACATGGTATCAACTGGCCCCATTCTCTCCTTCTGTCTCCTGCAGTCTCCCTTACCACAGATAACAGTGAGGAGTAAATGACAGGTTCCAACCAGAGTAGCCAAAGTGAACCTCACTCCCCTTCCTGTCTGTTTCAGAGGAGAATCAGGGCTCAGACCTAGGGTAGACTGCATAGGAGCAGCCTACCCAGGACAACCTAGCGCAGTGGTGTGCTTGTGCCTGCCTAAGTCACAGCATTGAGAAGGCATGGCCTCTACCTTTGGTTCTCCTTCCAGCCAACTTCTGCCTCAAAAGGTTTCAGACCTGCTTTTCCATGGGTTAAATCCCATGTGTTCTCAGTGTGCAGGGAGTGTGCATGCTTTGGCCACAGGACACTTCAGAGCCCTGGGTCTACATGCCCTCCTCTGTCTGGCAAAATAGCCTGAGTCTCTGTGTCTGCCTCCTGGATTCTTTCTCCATTTTTTAGACTCGCAGACTGCAGCCACACATGGATGAGCATAGCTATGTATCCCATACAACACAAAAAAATATTATGAGGTTTTTGTCTTTCGTAACCCAGTTACCCAGTTTGGAGGTGGAAAGTTTGCAGGTGGCGTCACTGTGTTGAAATGCCAAAGCGTTGGACTGAGCGTCACTGCTTTTTGCAGTGCAGAGTATTGTTCTGACTTCAGCAGTGGTTCTGTGTAAAGGCTTGCAGAGAAAGCGTGGGAGCCCAGCCTCTGGTGAGTTTGGGGACATTGCCGGATGGTACTGGTCAACAGAAGAACAGAGTCTTGTCCCCAGAGCACCCAGCCACAGAATTCCCATGGTTCTTCATTTCAGGCACCTTGGTTCCCCAGGGGACATTTGTCAGTGCCTAGAAACCATTCTTGTCACAACGTACAGAGGAGTGAAGAAGACCTGCTGGCATCTAGTGAGTGGAACTCAAAGATGCTGCTTATCCACACACAAGACAGACCCCGTGGCCAAGTGCTATCTGTCCCCAAATGACAACAGTGTGGAAGATGGGCAATCCCATTTAGACCTAAGAGGCCAAAGCAATGGGGAGTTCTCAAAAGCTCCAAAGTCATGCATGAGTCACCTGTGGGTCAGAGCAAATCAGCAGTGAACACCATGGCTGTCCTAAGTTGAGAAACGCCAGGAGCGGGACTGGACCTTGGAAGCCCACGTGACTATTTTCTTTTGGGAAGACCCCTACCCGTGTGGAGACAACCCTACAATATAGCTAGAATGATGACGCTGAACTTGTTCCCCACCAGTGGCTGTATGTCCAGGACCTCCTATGTCTGGCCCTCACCAGTGCGCCTGGGAAAAACCGTTGGTGAAGAGATTCTGATGGGGACAGAGAGACTGGGGAACAGGAACAGCTTCCCCGTGTCCTCCAGCCCTGCTCCCCAAAACTGCAGGCATACTAACTCTTTCTACTGTCTAAATTCTTCTGGAATTCTTATTTGCCACCCGCCACCCACAGATTGCAGTTCTTCGTGTGGAGAGCGTCAGCCGAGCTTCTGTGCTTTTTAATGTTTTCCCAGACAGCTTGTAAACACATGTAGGTGACAAGAAGCTATTGTAACTATTGTTCCAGGTTCTCCCTGTAAGGTACCCCGTTCCCCTGTGTGTTGCTGGCTTCTACTGCAGTGGGAAGGCGCTTTGCTGATTCAAGACTTAAGCGTGCTCTTTTGAAGGTGTGGCGGTGACACCTCCCCGGGTTAGCTTTCCTGCTATGGTTGTCATTTTCTATTACAATAATTAAACAGAAGGGAAGTTTAACTCTCTCTGACTCCCGGCTGCTTGTCTTTGAAAACCACAGCTCCAGGGTCCACTGGGGCAGGATGGGTCCCTTCCACCCTTGCTCCCCTCTGAGCTCACTCCACTGTCACACCTGAGATAAAAAGGCAGAGGCTACATATGGCCGCCCATTAGTTCTCCTGACTCTGCACCCACCATCTGAGAAACTTATCTCCATCAACGTCCCACCTTCGGGACCTGCGCTGTCTCAGATGCATGGGGAGTACCCAACAGATATTCAGGGAGTGAGTGAGTGAATGAATGATGCCTGGATGACCAGCTCAGTATGTTGCCAAGGAACACCAAGTATGCAAGTGTATTGGTATTCTTACATTTGCTAGGAGTAGAAACACCATCAGGTGTGGTGACTTGTCCCTGTGGTCTGTGGCAGCAGTAAGGAGTCTCAGGCAGGAGGATCACCATTAAGTCTGAGGCCAACCTGAGCTACTGAGTGAAACTCTGTCTCAGAAAAAAATAATAATAAAGTCAAAAAGAAAGACATGTATGTAGCAATTGGGTGTCTGGTGGTATTCTGAACTCCTGGCCTGTGTCAGCTGTGTGGGTGTGGGTCCTACTGGTATCTCCATTGCACAAATGAGGAAACTGAGCCAAAGAGACAAAGTTACCCAAGGCCTGCAACTGATGACCAAGGACTGGAAATGTGACTCTGGGATTATGTCTCAAAAAGGTTTGCAGCATCTGGGGTTGACTTTGAAGTCCTGGGGAGCCAAGGCTGTCCTACAAGATGACAGAGCAGAACTTGGCCACCCCACCCCACTTGCTGCCACAGGTAAATGTTCCCAGTTTCTCCGAGGTGTTAAGCACCCACCTTGGCAGCAAGGAGAGTCAGTGGGCTCACTGAGGACTTGGGGAGGACTCTGCCTTGCACATCTGGAGGGATGAGGGTCCAGCAGGCACGCTTCCAATAAGAGAGCCGCTGGAGCCTCAAGGCGAAGGCAGCCATAGGGAGAGGAGGACAGGGAGGCAAAACTTGATAGGAGGGACATGGAATATCCGAGTGAGGAGCCTGACAGGTCAGTGGCCAACATCGGTGTGTCCCTGAGAAGCTTGGTGCTCAGTCGAGGCAGGTAGTCTCTGGAGGCAAAGTGACAGGTGTGTCAAGGCAACAAGGGAATCAGGAAGTGACTCTAGTTCTGTCTCTCATGCCTGCTCCTGGCCCTGCCACCTTCCCTGCTCTGTAAAAGGGACTTGTATCCTAGCACCAACTCCGCTAGTGCCTCAGGGCTCCCACCCCATTTTGTTTCTGGTGAAGATGGCTGGGGCCTTCGTGCTGCAGTGTGGACTCTGTTTTTAAGACCCAGCTCCAGCCTTTGAATCCCTAGGGAAGGCTCTCTAGGAGATCATTTCCTACATAGGCAGTGTCCACAGCCCAGCACTGCTAACTTTGTATTTTAAGCAGCTACATCTGGTCCAGCCCAAGCCATTGTCCACTTCCACAGATCAATCATTGTCTGCCTCGCAGCTCCACCCTGCCTGCCAGCATTTGTACTGCATCTGGGAACTTACAAACTTGGCCTGG